GGCAAACCAGTTGGACTGCTTTTGTCCTTCCTTGGTTTCTCAACAGCCCTTGCTATGCTTTACCTCATGGCAAATTTACTCTGTTCATGGGGTCTGAGCACAGTTCACCTAGATTGGGCGCTCAGATCCGAGCTATCTGGAGATAGGTTAAATGTGGGGTTCTGTGTAATATAATAAGAATTATGTATTTTTATGTACTTTTACATATTTTGCTGGTAGTGTAAAATGTAGATCCAGGGGGTGTGCCTCTGGCCTGAAAATGTGTATTTAAGGAGTAATAAACGCTCATTGGAGTCAGATCATCTTGTACCTTCATGAAGTTTCGGCTCATGTTTGGGGGATTGGAGAACTACACTCTGGGGATTGCTATAATCACTATACTCCCCATGGTATAATCACTAAGCTCTGCTAAGAGCTTGTTCCTGTTCTTGCTCTCTGGAATTCGGAGAGGTCGACCTATTGGAAGCTGGACCCTGGTCTTGGGTCCAGAGTGGGTGGAGACGGCGAGACCCCAACCAAGCTGCGGCAGTTTGTGGGGTCTGCAGTGGTTATGGTGTCGGGCAGAGTGCTTGGAGTCCTCGGAAAAAGCACTAAGAGCATCCGTCAGCGGAAGGTACCCAGTCGGGGTGCCAGCGGTTCAGTTACAATAATGTAAATATTTAACAATGTCCATTAACCCTATCTGAACATATTTTTAGCAATTCCCTGTTGTGTATGATTTGTCTATAAATCTGTGTGTTAAAGGGTAACTGACATGTCCCATCAGTGGTGTAACTACCACCGGTGCAGCAGCACCAGGGCCCACACACTATGGGGGCTCATATCAGCAGGGGCCCGGTCGAGCACTGTGGCTATTTACCAGTGTGCTTGTCGGCAGCAAGGGAGGAGATGACAGTCTGTCACTTCCTCTGAAAGAGATAGAAGAGACGCGGGAAACAGGAGAAGCAGGCAGAAAATAGGGGAGATGGGCCCCTAACTCACAACAACCTTAGCCTGCTACTGGATCCCAGTGAAGCCACTCTCCTGAAAAAAAGTAGGAAACGGGGGTTGGCTATGAAAGTGCCCATTTTGACCAATGTGTGTATCTATATGTCTGTGCATGTGTCAGAGTATATATACATATACAACCAGTTCCAAATTATTATGCAAATTCTATTTAAGTGTCACAAATATTAAATATTTTGTTTTAACTCATGGATGGCATTGTGTCTCAGGGCTCTTTTGATCACTGAAAATAATCTCGGACACCTATGATAATTAGATTGCCGGGTGAGCCCAATTTAAGGAAAAACTACTAAAGGAGGGTGTTCCACATTATTAAGCAGAGCACCATTTTTATGCAATATTGGGAAGAAAAAGGATCTCTCTGCTGCCGTAAAGAGTGAAATAGTTCAATGCCTTGGACGAGGTATGAGAACATTAGATATTTCACGAAAACTTAAGCGTGATCATCGCACTATTAAGAGATTTGTGGCTGATTCAGAGCACAGATGGGTTTGTGCAGATAAAGGCACATTGAGGAAGATTTCTGCCAGATCCATGGATCGGATCAAGAGAGCAGCTGCTAAAATACCATTACATTGCAGCAAACAGATATTTGAAGCTGCTGGTGCCTCTGGAGTCCCACGGACATCAAGGTGTAGAGTCCTCCAGAGTCTTGCAACTGTGCATAAACCTTCTATTTGGCCACCACTAACCAATGCTCACAAGCAGAAATGGCTGCATTGGGCAGAACAATACATGAAGACTAATTTTCAAACAGTCCTGTTCACTGATGAGTGCCGTGCAACCCTGGATGGTCCAGATGGATGGATTAGTGGATGGTTGGTGGACAGCCACCCTGTTCTAACAAGGCTGCAACTTCAGCAAGGCGGTGGTGGAGTCATGTTTTGGGCCGGAATTATGAGAAGAGAGCTGGCCGGCCCCTTTAGGGTCCCCAAAGGTGTAAAGATGACCTCTGCAAAGTATGTGGAGTTTCTGACTGACCACTTTCTTCCCTGGTACAGAAGGAAGAACTATGCTTTCCGTAATAAAATCATCTTCATGCATGACAATGCACCATCTCATGCTGCAAAGAATACCTCTGCATCAATGGCTGCTATGGGGATAAAAGGAGAGAAAGTTATGGTGTGGCCTCCATCCTCCCCTGACTCCAATCCTATTGTGAACCTTTGGAGCATCCTCAAGCAAAAGAACTATGAGGGTGGGAGGCAGTTTACATCCAAACAGCAGCTCTGGGAGGCTATTCTGACATCTTGCAAACAAATTCAAGCAGAACTCACAAGTTCAATGGATGCAAGACTTGTGAAGCTGCTATCAAATAAGGGGTCCTATGTTAAAATGTAATGTGACCTGTTAAAATGTTTAAAAAGTTAAAATGTTGTTATAAGTATGATTGAAATAGCTTTTAATTTCAGTAAATATACTGCAAGCACAACAAATGACAATTTTCAGTTCTTTACAACCTATAAAGTGTTTTGAAACTTACTGTGCGTAATAATTTGGAACAGTGCATTGTAAGTTTAAAAATAAAATTTGAATTGTACTCTTAATAGTTGATAACATGAGAATCATGTTGACTATTATGCAAATGATATTTTTCTCATTTACCTAAATAATTGATGTAAATAACAATCTGGAACAGGGTGTATATATATACATACACACACAGTATCTCACAATACATTTTTGTAAATATTTTATTATATCCTTTCATGTGACAACACTTAATAAATGACACTCAGCTACAATGTAAAGTAGTAAGTGTACAGCCTGTATAACAGTGTAAATTTTCTGTAAAATTTTCTGTCCCCTCAAAATAACTCAACAGACAGCTATTAATGTCTAAACAGTTGGCAACAAAAGTGAGTACACCCCTAGGTGGAAATGTCCAAATTGGACCCAATTAGCCATTTTCCCTCCCAGTGTCATTTGACTCATTAGTTCTGGTGAACTCCATGCCCATGAGGGTTAAGGTAGTGCTGTAAAATAATGGTGGCCACACAAAATATTGACACTTTGGGGTGTGCTCACTTTTGTTGCCAATGGTTTAGACATTAATAAATGTGTGTTGAGTTATTTTGAGAGGACAGCAATTTACACTGTTATGCAGGCTGTACACTTACTACTTTACATTGTAGCAGTGTGTGTGTCACATGAAAAGATATAATAAAATATTTACAAAAATGTGAGAGGTGTACTCACTTTTGAGAAATACTGTATGTGTCGGACTGCCTGGCACCCCGAATCACGCTTCCTAGTGCTCACCGAGTACCATAAGCACCGGACACCATAACCACTGTAGCCCCCTTAGCCGCCGCAGCTTGGTCAAATAGCAGTATAGCTGTTCACCCCACACATGAGCCAAGGCTTAATGCTGGGAGTCATCTGTTTAATCCGGCCAATTGGCACACTTATATACAGAATCTGAGCTCAGTGACATGCCCCCAAACACACCCAGAGACACACCCACAATGTGCCACAAAATACAGTGTCACTGTTTTTAACACATAAAAATACATATTTCCTACATAGGAACCCCCACAGTCTCTGCATCTCTGGATAGCCTGGATCTGAGCGCCCAACATATCCGAAATGCGCTCAGATCCCATGAACACAGCCGAATCGTCACTGGGGTAAAGATCTGACCGACCGCACACCTGCCTACTTTTGTGGGAACAAGATGGCCGCCACCACGTGTTCGGGCATACAAAAGGCAGCTACCCAGACAAACACTTAGAACACTGCTGGCAGAATCATTACAACGTGTCAAGAATATTTAACAAGCTCCCGTCTTTAGTTCGTGGATGTGTTCGGTTCCCGAACAGCACAGGGAACCCAAACGAACTGAATCTTTCAAAATGTATTTTGCAGTTCTTTTTGCAGGGTCCATAGTCCTGGGGCAAAGGGCTGGCAAGCAGCTTCCTCCAGGAGCCCGAGCCGAGGTTAAGTTCGCCACACTTTCCATTAGTGAACTGAAACGTTGATCCACCTAAGCTGATGCCTGAATAAAGATAAGTTTTTTTCACCATATTTCTGAAGTCCTCGGAGTGCTATCTTTACACTACTTATTTTATATTTATTGCTGACCAGCATCAGGCTTATTATCTTTTAACAGGAGTGCAAGCATTGGATTTTATATAAATAAATATATATATATATATATATATATATATAAAAATGCAACGAATTGCTGCACTCACGGTGAATAAAAAATCCAAGTTTATTGAAAATAGATTTAAAACATCTACGACCAACGTTTCAGTCCTATCAGGACTTTCCTCAGGATCAAAGAGATGAAGAACAGTATATACAACATACAAGGCTTTTATACATAAAACTATTAAGTGTATTAGCTTACCCCAGGTGAAACCGCCATTCAATCGGCGTCCTGACCCGCTCTGTGCGCATGTGCGAGTTGACTCCGCCCCCTGCCGTGGTGTCATAGCGTCATCGCGTGATCGCGGCTAAATTGTTACCTTGGCGACGTTGTCCAACACAGCATCACCATGGACAACCAAACGCCGGCAACCAGACCGGAACGGTAGTTGCCCTGGTGATGCTGGAAAACAAAAGATCGCCACAGTTAATGTCTTTATAGGGGGGTGGAGCCAAATACCGAAAATACTAAACTATAAAACATGTGAATAAAAATAATGATAATAATAAGTATACAAATATGAATGAGCTATATATTATATCTGCTCAATTCATTGCAAAGTGCCAACATTATCAGTGTAAATAAAGTGCATAAAAACATCCATGTGTTCATCTTATTAGGGAATCAGTGCATATAACTGAGTGTAATGCTCATAAAGGTAAAGAGTGATATAAAACTCATTTGCATGACAATCCATATTTGGATAATTTAAAGTGACATGCAATACAATCCATATTTAGATATTTTTATTTTTATTCACATGTTTTATAGTTTAGTATTTTCGGTATTTGGCTCCACCCCCCTTTAAAGACATTAACTGTGGCGATCTTTTGTTTTCCAGCATCACCAGGGCAACTACCGTTCCGGTCTGGTTGCCGGCGTTTGGTTGTCCATGGTGATGCTGTGTTGGACAACGTCGCCAAGGTAACAATTTAGCCGCGATCACGCGATGACGCTATGACGCCACGGCAGGGGGCGGAGTCAACTCGCACATGCGCACAGAGCGGGTCAGGACGCCGATTGAATGGCGGTTTCACCTGGGGTAAGCTAATACACTTAATAGTTTTATGTATAAAAGCCTTGTATGTTGTATATACTGTTCTTCATCTCTTTGATCCTGAGGAAAGTCCTGATAGGACTGAAACGTTGGTCGTAGATGTTTTAAATCTATTTTCAATAAACTTGGATTTTTTATTCACCGTGAGTGCAGCAATTCGTTGGATTTTTGTATGGACGGCTATTATTTGCTGGCACCCGGGCAACAAGGGTAATTGGAGCGTGAGTGCGGGAGCTATTGGTATTTTTTGTCTATAGGGTTATTGGCCTTAACCCCCTCCTGGCACCAGCACCTTAGCAGTTTGACACTATATGTGTAGATAGCTTTGGAACCCTGCACTTTATTTGACCATAAGGACATTTTTTACTATTTTCTATTATTTTTTGGCTTATTCACTAAACTATAAGCATGGATGAATTTTTGTTCCTAGCTGGGGCATACTCGGAACAGGCAGATACTATGCAGTTCTCCCAGGAAGAAGCGGAGAATATTTTATGGGAACAAACTGGTTTGGAACTTCCACATCATTTATCCGCTAAGGATGTTTATTTTAAATTGTCTAAATTACGGAGGAAACAGATCGATTTAGATATGCATGGATTATTTCTCTCTGACTATTACAAGGCAAAGAGGATTCCCAGAGGATTTAGAATACTTAATGTACCAACTATTGGAAGGGGAAAAGCTAAGGTCTGCAAGGAATGGACTATGGTTTTGAACAAGGCATCATTGGATATGATGCTTATTATAATAAAAGATGTGAAAGAGGATTTGATAGATGTGGAGAAAAAGATCTTGGAGGTGGAGAATGAACATGCCATATTATTGGCCTCAGTGGAAGGACAGAAATTGCTACAAAAGCTCCATGAGGAATTGCAGAAATATAAAAACGAATTGATTAGATTCAAAAAGCAGAAATTCGAGAGAGTCCAACAGGACTACCTGGACCACAGGGTTTATAGATGGCTGTCCGGCAATGGCAATCAGAGGCCAAGGCGGCAACGCAAAAGAATTGTCAAGCCCCGAATTGTAACTATTGACACTACATCCGGGGAATCGGCCTCTGAGAACGATATGAAGGAACCCACACCGCATACCCCCCTTTTTTTAGAGACCCCAGAAATGGGGACTTCTACCAGAAGTCGCGTAAGGGGCACCACAGAACCAGGAGAGGGGGGCATACCAAAAGGGGTGTTAAAGGGCAAGCCACCACTCAGGAAATAATTCCGATTTTCAACTTATCCCACCGACCGCTTATCCAAGAAGAATCTGACTTATTAAGCCAAGGATTATCATTTGTCCCCACAGCGGACGTGAATCCATTTAAATGGGAAGTGGAGTGGTTTAAGTTTGGAAGAAACCTTCGTTTGAAAGAATATTTCTGCAAAAGCGGATCTAATACAATTGATACCAACCATGGAACTAAAGAAAAAGAAAAATTCCGTCTGAATTCAACATTTGACCCACCCACGAATAAAGCTTCAATCAAAACTTTTTTATCCTTGACCAACAAAGATGCAAAGTCAACAATGTGTAACCCTGTCAATAAGAGACATAATGTCACAAAACGTCAGCGCCAACTTATTAAGAATTTGGCCGAGGATCGATCTATAATTATACGCTCCGCGGATAAAGGAGGTGGAATAGTTATTATGAATTACTCTGATTATGCCAACGAGCTAAAAAGCCAATTACAAGATCCAAATGTCTACCTTCCCCTGGACCAAGACCCTACTCGGGAGTTTCAGAGTGTGATACATGATATATCGTCTATGGGATTGAGAGCTGGATATATAGACTTAGGTTTATTTCAATATTTGAATCAAAAAAATCCACGTACTCCTATTATTTACAGCATCCCAAAAATCCACAAGGATGCTCAGAAGCCTCCGGGACGTCCAATAGTGTCCGCGATTAAAGGAATTTTAGAACCTTTAGCTAAGTGGCTTGATTTTTTGTTTAAACAGACGGTTGAGCAGTTGGACACTTGTATAAAAGACACACCCATGCTCCTGAATAAAATTAAGGAGATTTAATTTATGGAAACTAAACCTTTGCTAATTACCATGGATGTGAAGAGCCTATATACCGTAATCCCGCATGATGAAGGTGTTGAGGCCATGCGACAAGTACTTATGGCATCGACAGTGTACCATGGTCCACCTATTGAATTTGTACTGGAAATTTTGGCAATCACTTTGGAACGCAATTACTTTCGTTTTGAAAACCAGTGGTACTTGCAGATATCAGGCACATCGATGGGGGCGGCAATGGCCCCCATGTATGCAAATGCATACATGTATGTGTATGAACAGAAACACATCTTGTTACCATATGGCCATTTAATACAAGGCTATTACCGTTACATTGATGATCTTTTGATCATTTGGAATGGTACCATAATGGAAGCACATAATATGGTCGATGAACTTAACAAACTACCAGTACCTATAAGAATGACGGCGAACATCAGTACGGATAAAGTCCAATACTTGGATGTCGAATTGTCCATAGGTACAGACAGATTGGAATATAGCTTGTTCACGAAAGCCACTGACCGCAATACCCTCCTCCATGCACATAGTGCTCACCCACAAGGTTTGAAGGACTCTCTCCCAAAGGCCCAATATCTGCGGGTGATGAGAAACAACTCTGACGAGAACATCAAAGAGAAGCAACTGATTGAAATGACTAATAAATTTTTGGAACGGGGGTACCACCGCTCCACCCTTGATAAAGCATTAAGAGAGGCTAGGGCCCCTCGGGAACCTAGGGTGACAGCGACATCACAAAGAATGGTTTTCCCCACTACGTTCCATCAATCAACGGGTCAAATTTCCTCCGCCATCAGAAAAAATTGGAGAATACTGGCAGCGGATGACACCCTCCCTAAAGTCTTTTCGGAACAACCTTTAGTTTGCTTCAAGAGGAATAAAAATCTAAAGGATTTGTTGGTCCATACTGACCCTATCCTAAGTTATGCTGATAATGTTACAATACAATGCCGGGGCAGTGTGCGCTGCCTCGGGTGTGTAACATGTGGACATATGACCCCATCTAAGTCTTTCCAACACCCACACACCAACAAGAAATATATAATTCGGAGTACCATTACGTGTAAAACTACTCATGTTGTTTACAAACTCACATGTCCATGTGGGTTGGTGTATATTGCTAAAACTGAAACAGCGCTCTGTGAAAGAATAAGGGGTCATAGATCCAGCATTAGATTGGCCTACAGGGATGGTGGATCGGACAAACCAGTGGCGAAACATTTCTTTGATTTTAATCATCCATTAGCCACACTGAAATTCATAGCAATTGACCATATTCCAGCATCGAGACGGGCCGGAGACAGGGGTAAATTGCTATTAAACAGAGAGACATTTTGGATATTTGAATTGGACACAGTTTACCCAAAGGGTTTGAATGAATATATCTCGTTTCATTCATTCTTGTAATAGGTTTAACGACAAGTGAGGTTTGTCATAATGACTTGAGTTATGAAATATATTTATATGCATAGCCATAACAGAGTTATAACCCCAGCTATTGGTATTTTGATTTTAAGATATGAATGCTGAGATTTGCCATTAAGTACAAAACATTTTTTGGGCACTTTAATTAGTAAGGCTAAATGAGCATAGCCCATTATATAGAAAGATGTTTAATCATTATATATGATTAATAGGAGGAGTTGTAGTATCAACCCTCAATATATAATGCTTTAGGTAATCTTGATCGCATCTCCACAGTGTTTGGATTTTTTTATAAGTGTACATGTATTGTTATTATGTTAGTATATTAGTATCAATGTTATCAGGTATATATTTTTCCTTTTATACGTGGGGTTTTGAAAGAGAATAGATCTATTTTTACACATTACACCATATAATATTTTTTCACTAGCATTTATTGCACTTTTTTACTATTGATAGTTTGCACTTTACATATATATGCACTGTCACTTTAAAATATTTAAAATATCTAAATATGGATTGTATTGCATGTCACTTTAAATTATCCAAATATGGATTGTCATGCAAATGAGTTTTATATCACTCTTTACCTTTATGAGCATTACACTCAGTTATATGCACTGATTCCCTAATAAGATGAACACATGGATGTTTTTATGCACTTTATTTACACTGATAATGTTGGCACTTTGCAATGAATTGAGCAGATATAATATATAGCTCATTCATATTTGTATACTTATTATTATCATTATTTTTATTCACATGTTTTATAGTTTAGTATTTTCGGTATTTGGCTCCACCCCCCTATAAAGACATTAACTGTGGCGATCTTTTGTTTTCCAGCATCACCAGGGCAACTACCGTTCCGGTCTGGTTGCCGGCGTTTGGTTGTCCATGGTGATGCTGTGTTGGACAACGTCGCCAAGGTAACAATTTAGCCGCGATCACGCGATGACGCTATGACGCCACGGCAGGGGGCGGAGTCAACTCGCACATGCGCACAGAGCGGGTCAGGACGCCGATTGAATGGCGGTTTCACCTGGGGTAAGCTAATACACTTAATAGTTTTATGTATAAAAGCCTTGTATGTTGTATATACTGTTCTTCATCTCTTTGATCCTGAGGAAAGTCCTGATAGGACTGAAACGTTGGTCGTAGATGTTTTAAATCTATTTTCAATAAACTTGGATTTTTTATTCACCGTGAGTGCAGCAATTCGTTGGATTTTTGTATGGACGGCTATTATTTGCTGGCACCCGGGCAACAAGGGTAATTGGAGCGTGAGTGCGGGAGCTATTGGTATTTTTTATATATATATATATATATAGAGAGAGAGAGAGAGAGAGAGAGAGAGAGAGAGAGAGAGAGGGGGAGAGAGAGAGAGAGAGATAGATACACATATACACACACACACATATATATGTATATGTGTGTCAGTGTTTATCTGTATGTTGTCAATATGTGTATCTGTGTATTTGCATGGGTATCATTGTGTGTCTATCTGTATGTCTGTCAGTGAGTGTATCTGTGTATCTGCATGTGTGTCAGTGTGTGTATGTGTATCTGCATGTGTGTGGGTGTGTATCTGTGTATCTGTCTATCAATATTTTTGTCAGTGTATATCAATGTGTATATCAGTGTGTGTATGTTGTCAGTATCTGTATCAGGTTTGTGTGTGTCAGTGTATGTGTATGTGTATGTGTGGGGCTGTGTATGTGCATACATTTCAGCATTCAAACACCAACAGCACACACAAACACATCCCTGCATTCAAATGTAAACATTACATAAAAACACCCCTGCATAGATACAATCGTCAGTAGTACATACAAACACACTTCTGTATTAAAAAACAAAATTAATTATAAACACACCACTGCATTCAAAATCCACACTACACACAAATGCATGTTTACATTCAAGTACCAACACTACATTTAAACACACGAAGATTACATACATGCTAAATACATCCCTGCAAGCTTGGGAAAATAGTAGAACCCCAGCTGTCAAAGTATTGTGGGAGTTGTACGTCAGATAGGGATCTACCTGTGTGTCATCCTTGCGATAGGAGGAGCCCAAAACAATTATTGTACTAGGGCTGTTGCTATGTTAGTTCTGCCTCAGCTTCCCATGATATTTAATGTGATGATTTCATATCCCAATGTTAAACACATATGTATTTCTGAGGTGTGTAAAATCAAATTATATATACACGCTATATAAGTTCTATCCTTTGTACCTGGCAGTCCGCATACAAAAAAAGAGGAAAAATATTTAATTTGCAATGTTTGCCCTGAATTTGCCTTGTCTGAACTGGATTATATAATTTACTAAATCTTTCATATAAATTCAAAGGAATGAAAATACTACATGAAGAAAGGTTACCACAAGTTACAGGTGATTTTTTTCATTATGTCAGGTCATAAGTGACAGTACCCCTTTAAACTATTGGAAAAACTATAACATTGGATAGATGGATGGATGGATGGATAGATAGAATTTACTTTGATTATTTTGCTTTGAGCTCTTACTGGCTTTTGTTTTATATTGATCTGGAGAATCACCATCTACCAAAATCATACATAGGGAAGCTCAGCACTATTCCAGTTACAATTTTTGAACTCATCCGAAGGCTGGTCTAAAGTAATTGATGGGAAGGTGTAAAAGCAAAGAAAATAAATAGTATTCCAAAAGATACAAGATGATACTTGATGGACACCAATCGATTAACAAACTAGGCAGGAAAGCCAATCAATTGTGGTTGTGATTCCTGGGTCTTTCTTTATATAAATTCTTAAAAACAAGCACAAAAAAGAGATCATAATTACTGAAAAGACTCAATGTATCCATGATCTCTAATTAAATAAAACAATACACACTGAAGGCCATGGACAAGTTGAACCTAATCTTGTCTGAATAATTCCATTCTCTTAGTCAAACAGGAACATTTTATACACTTTTCTTCTGATAAATAACTCACTGACTTACACACATGAGTTTCACAACCCTAATCCCAGAACAGATGTGACATATGTCTCCAAAAGCGAAGCTCACAATTATTTATTTATAGTTCTTTCTGCTTGACATGAGGCAGCAAATATGCTTTTATTCTAAAATGAAGCAATAAATGTTTCACCAGAAAAAAAGAACTGTACAAAATAAGTTCATCCACTCATGGCAGCTTGTGAATAACTTACAGACTAGAATTAAAGGAGATGTCTACATGGCGCCTGGTAAGAACCCTCAACAAACTGAACTTAACATAGGCACCTCACATTTTCTCAATAACATTCCCAAGCAAGAAAAATGAAAACTAAAAATACCTCAGGCAGAAGAGACAGGCTTGTCTACAATGAGTTTTATATCTGTAAATAATTATCATATTGATCCATAATTGCCTCTTTTTACAGATATATGAATAAATAATATCAAACAATGTGCTGCCTTAGGACGTAAGTAGAGGAAGTCGTTCCAATTATTGGCTAAATTGGCAGAATTATAGCTCAAGATTTCAACACACATAGGGCTGGTCGGGCATGTAAGGTTTTGAAAGACTTGGTTGTTCCTAATTTGTCACAAAGGCTGGTAGTGATGGTATAATAGTGTGCAATAATTTAAGGACACAATAATAAGATGAACTGACTTTACTTTATCACTTTGGCATAGACTGACACTTGAGCTCGTACACAATGGGGTTAACTTGGTTAGAAACTACGTACACAATATAAAAAGAATAATAATGACAGATGAATATATTCACAATATATTCATATAACCTCCTGTGATCATTTTAATGATAACTCAGAGTTAGAATCTCCTTATATAAGCTTGGTATAGCTTGGCAATAAAGTAACGGTTTAGACGTTTGTGCTAGGAGACCTACATAAAGAATAGGTGGACTGACGAACCTTGGGAGTTCTGAAATAAAGGAGTAATGGTGAGCTGTCTATATCACCCATGAACAGTGGAGGCAGCAAAGAGATTTGGTGAGATGTGAGTCTTTAGCAGAGGAAAAAAATAACAAGGCAATGGTGAGGTTAATCGTGGAATGAGCGCTTGAGATTAAGTCCACAAGTGAGAGAAGACTCATTGGAAAGAGTGGACAAGGCAATTATGGAGTTTAAAAATAGATTTACAAACAAGGCAATTATGGAGCTTACTGTGAGTTGAGCACTTGGGAACAAAGTCCATATGAATGATACAATGGTTGTAAAGATGGTCTGAGAGCCTGGTTGAGACTTGTAACTGGGGACTGTTACCAGTGTTGTAGCAAGGCCCAAGGACAATCCGTGAGAGTAGTAAGGTAGCAGTAGCCAAAGTTGGAAGGCAGAGAGGCAGCAAGAATACAGGGTTGATCTCAGAGAGAAGTCTGTAACAATAGCCAGGGTCAGTAGATTATAATAGCCTGACACAATTAAGCATTGAATCATGACATCACTGAGCAAGGAATATGAGGCTAAGTAAACTCTTACTAAGAGCAACTGTACATAATTAAAGGGGGTTACTCATACTCAAGACTACATGCATCCTTAGTGCAGTGTTCTTTAAAAGTTCACCCATAAGATAAAAGTTATCAATTTATTGTAAAGCATACGTTATGAACAACATGCCTATAAATCCTAAATATTTAGAAAAATCGTTTTTTCTACATATTTCACTGTTGTATACTTATATATCATGAAAAATATTTTATTAAATTCTACTACTTACAGCAGTGATTGACTGGCAAACTGAGCATACCTGTAACTGAGCCGGCTGGAGGTATATCGCTGAAAGACACATATGTTTGTGATGGCAAGCACAACATATTTGACGTCATACCCACAAGACATATGTGGTGGGACCATCTGATCATGAGCTGCTCATTCGTCATATACAGTCATTTTGCCAGTCTAACACTATCCACAAGCATTTTAGATATTTGACCTTCAGTTGACATTACCTTTAATTCACTTTGGATGACTAAGGACTTGTAAAATCAAGAAGGATTTTTTTCACTGTTTGCTGTGTAATTGGAAATAATGTTTAATTTTTTTCTTGTTCTTTCTTTCTTTCTTTCTTTCTTTCAAACCGCATATATAGTCATGTGTGAAATACTGAGATTTATATTTTATACAACCATTTGATTCGTGCTTAATACAACCATTCCGTAGACAACCAATGTAATAACAATAATATTCAATAACATTATATAATGCATTCTAATTCTTACATTCTGAAACAAGCTGCTAAATCCCTATAAGACAAAGGCACATTAACCATGGGTCAAGTCCTGGGGAAAAAAACTGTGGGAACTCACCCAAGATCCGCCCCCCAAAAAAAACCCCAAAAACACTCGTATACATATATAAACGCATGCACACACACACTCAGACACACACATACACTCACAGACACACACATACACTCAGACACTCACAGACGCACACACATACTTAGACAATCACACAGTGGTGTATTTTGATTTTGTGCTTAATTTTGACTATACCTGAGCACACCCTAATCTAAATTTACCACCCCTTCCTGTCAAGGGCACACCGCTTGCTGATTAAGAACTCACCCCTTCCTCTTTAGACTCCACCTTTTCATGGTCCTTTTAAAGAAATACTATAGAGCCAGGAAAACAAAGCTGTTTTCCTGGCACTATAATTCCCTATAGTGCCCCCCTCCCTCGTGTCCTCCCCTCCACCACTCGACACTGAAGGGGTTAAAATCCTATGGGTATTTAGCAGATGCTGGATGTCCTCATGCACAGGGTGAGGACGTCCAGCATCAGTTAGGCGACTTTCTAAGAAACTGCAATAATTACACTTGCAGGTTTAACCCCTTAAGGACACATGACATGTCTGACATGTCATGATTCCCTTTTATTCCAGAAGTTTGGTCCATAAGGGGTTAAGGGGACTGGAACACTGCACCCAGA